GATCCAGATGAAGGCTGGCAAGTGGTGGAGTGTCCCAGCGGTTCCTTGAAAAGGAAGATCCATTCAGTCGCATTGATGAGATCCCCAGAGATGAGCAATTCGTGATTTTAACAATCTCCTCACCTTTGGCACATTGATTGATGGTGAAGAAGTGGTGATGCCAGATGCAGAGCCAGAGCAGGAAGTGGCTGAAGAAGCCACAGAAGAAGTTGTCGGACAAGACATTCCCGAGTTCCCCATCATGTCACCAGCATTTGTGCCAAGTGGACAGGAAGAGACATTGTTCATTGGGGAGATGCAACTTACAGAGCGCTCAAGTGTGAAAAATTTGAGAGAAGCAGCAAAGTACCTCAAGTTGTCAACCTCAGGCTCCAAAGCAAAGGTGTTCAATCGAATTCGAGATTCATATGAGATGGCTTTGAAAAGGCGAGCATTGGAGGTGGCTAGACAGGACTATGAACCCGGAGCCACGATTTGTTGATGCTCCAGCCCAACCAAGTGAGCGAGAGCGCAAGTTGCATGAGGTCACACACTTACCCTTCAAGAAGTGGTGTTCATTTTGCGTGATGGGCAAAAGTCGAGCAATCTTGAAGTATGCAAGTGACCCAAAGGACATTGCTGACAGGACGCACCCGACAGTGCAAGTTGACCTATTTTACCAAACCGCTGGCAATTGTTTACGCCTATGTGTTGTGATGGACATTTCAGACGCCTTCCTGCAGGTGAAGCAACGTGAGTTTGTGGTCATTGAGGTTCCAAGCTGGATTCGAACAATCTTGCAGCAACCAAACTTCATGCTTTGGAAACTCCAGAGATGCTTACCTGGACAACGCAATGCAGCGTTGGAATGGAATCGACACTTTGCCAAGTTGTGCACTGAATTTCAGTTCTGCTCATTTCAGGGTGGCACTTTGTTCAAGCATGCAAAAGAGAAGCAGTTCCTATCGGTGCACATTGATGACATCATCCTGATAGCAGAAGAGGCATGTCACCATTTGTTTGTTGAGCATTTCTCAAAGAAGTTGAAGCTCAAAGCTGACGGGCCATATGGAGTTGAGAAGCCCGGAACTTTGTACTCTTTGAAAAGAAGCATCACGTTCGACAATGAAGGTCTTGAGATTGCTGCAAAAAAGAAGTATGTGCCGAAGCAAAGCAGTTTGTTGGGAGTTCAAGAGCGAAGAGAAAGAGGAGTCCCATCGAATGCAAACCTCGATGTCTATGACGCTGAGGCAGCAAAGGAAGCCCAGACATTTCGGTCAGCTCTTGGGATCCTTATCTATCTGAGCCAGGAAAGGTTAGACATACAACATGTGACAAGAATCCTGAGCTCATACATGAGCAGACTAGAACCGCACTCTCCTCCATAAAGAAAGTGGCTTGCTATTTGCAGGGCACATCCGACATGGTCCTACGCTATGAGCGAAAAGGTGAGTTCACCACGGTGTTCAGCAGATGGAAACACCTTGATGTGGGAGTGAAGGCCAGTCACAGACCACATGTGTTGGAGTTGTTCTCTGATACATCCAAAAGTTCCCGGAGGTCGACATCATCAGGTTTGATCTTCCACAACGGGAACTGCATACATTCCCACAGTCGAGGACAGATGTCCATTGCTTTGTCATCGATGGAAGCAGAGGTGTTGGCCGCAACCGGACTTCTTGCAGAAGGAATCATGTTGAAGCAGGGCCTACAATTCCTGCTTGGTTGCCGGCAAGATCCAGGAGATGAATCCATGGTTGAGATGAAGTTGTATTTGGATTCCACAAGTGCTCAGGCCTTTTTCCAGAGGATTGGACCTGGAAGAGCCAAACACCTTTGCACCAGAATTCTATGGGGGCAGGAAGCAATGAGAAGAGGCTGGTATCGAATCACTCGCATAGCAACAAAAGACAATCCAGCCGACCTGAACACCAAGTCCCTCAGTCGAGAGAGAAGGGAATACTTGTCGAAGCTCATTGGACTATGGAGTTCAAGTTTCAAAGAGGAGGTGATGCCAACAGTTCAGCGGATCATTCATCTTCTTTTGACAGCTGGACTACTCAAAGGATGCAGCAATGATGAAGCCTCAGAGATGACATGTGGAGGAATGAGGCAAGCCGTAGTTCACAATACATGGAGCCTACACATTTTGTGCTGGGCAGTTTTCATTTTGATGAGTGTGATCGCCATCCTAGTCTTCAACATGCAAAGAATGAGGACACAGTTGGCGAAATACAGGTGCGTGTGGCGAGGCCTAAAGAAGGAGCTGGCGCTGAAGAGGCGTGAGAATCCATTTCTCATGGCAGAAGGAGAAGGTGAAGAGTCGGCCCATTCAGATAACGATGATGAAGACTATGATGATTATGGTGATGATGAAGGAGAAGGACATGGTGGCTACAACAGTCACCATGGTGAAGACGGTTCAGCAGAAGGAGGCTACTTTGAAGGAGGACTTCATTCACACCTCTCACATGTTTCAGGAGGTGGAAATGGCGATGTTGCAGGTGGACCAAACCCGTACTATGAGGACGCACCACAGACAGGAGATGTAGAAGAGAGGCCCATGAAGAGAAGAAAATGTGTGCATGAAGGTGTTCATGCCATGGAGAACCCAGATGAAGATGAAGAGGTAGAAGAAGATGAACAACGACAACAGCCATCAAGTTCCTCAAGGGGCATGGATGCAGAGACAGCACAGCAGACAGTTTCTGACTTTGTGGCCGAAGAGCCAAGACAGTTCTTGAATCCGCAAGATGAGATGCCAGAGGCCATTGTGATGGTGCAGAGTGGTTCGTCCTTGGTTCAATGAGGACAATGGTGGACAATGGTGGTTTGGGGACTTGAGGGAGTTCCCATTTTTTCCAGAAGATCTTCAGAAGTTGAGGACAAGGTTGTTGAACGAAAGTCATGGGCCAGAGGTGTCGTTGACACTAGCATGTTGCAATTTGAATGAGCGCACCCGAGAGCTGGAGATGACAAGAGATGCTACATTTCGAGATGACATCAGGTCAGGCCGCAGCTGCCGTGATAACTTTCAATAAGTGGATCGAGAGTGGCAGCAGCCTTTCGTTCTTCTCAGATAATGAGACAACTTCAGGAAGTGAATGTGAAGTTGATGAGAATGCCAATGAGGACACCAGCAACAGACCCAACGAGGCCGACATCAATGGACCCTTGGAAGAAAGTGAAGATCCCAGTGCATGGATTGCGCATCACTATGGTGAAGACGAACAAGAGGAAATGGTGTTCGAAGATGAGGACGAAGGAAATGATGGGTGAAGAACATGTTCACCCACAAGAGCACTCAATGCTTGTGGCAATGAAGAAAACAAGTGAGTGATGAGAGATTTGTTTCGCGAATTTAGAATGTGAAGATGTGAAGTAATACTTCATTAGTTCCATGAAGTCTTAAGGCGGGGTGTCACAAGTTAGTAGAGCAGACATGACCCCTGCGCAAGGATGACACGTACAGTCAAGAGCAGTAAAGTATCTGTTCTTATCGACGCATCAAGTGGCTCAAAATCGAGGTCACAAAAGAACCGAGTTCCGTGAGAGTTTTGAATGTGACGAAAGCAAGGATCAGGGCCTTTGTATCGCGGAGCGACGGAGAGCGATGTTGCGTGTCGACTTGAAGAGCTTGACAAATCCTGCAAGGGACAGGAACATGGCTGCTCACGTTGAACGATTCTTCATCCATTGCTCGCATTGAAGGAGACTCGGAGCCACATCGAGGACATCCGCGACTGGATTCAAAGGTATGGGCAACCACCGCTGGAGCAGTAGCAGTAGATGCAAGTTGCTCGACCCAGGTCATTGACTTCAGCCCCTGGAGTGAGGTGAAATGTGGAGGCCAGTGTCGTGAATGCTGCAACGTGACCAGGTCGCTTCCTCTCGCCCAGGATAACGGCAGATTTCTATGGCTGCTCAGCCCGTGGAGGCGACTGCATTTGCAAGGGCTACATTTGTGGAACCACCGCCAATCCCAAGAGCTGAGACAAAGGCCAGGAATGAGCCACCTAGGCCGGAACCAGTGGAGCTGCGACCAAAGTCAAGATCATCGAGGCGCCGCCGCCATCGGAACAGAAGTCAGAGTCGATCACCTCAGAGAGGTCGACGTCGCTCACGGAGGGACCCTTGCGAGAAAGATTCGCAGCCATGACCACGACCTTCGAGTTTACAAAGCTCTACTGCCATTGCTGTCCCACCTGGTGTGATCGTTCAGATCGTTCGAAGACGTGGGAGAACCGTGACGAGCGAGGCAGTCGCTATGGCCGTGCTGATTGGAGTGAACAGCATGAACCCAGAGATCGAGGTTGAGTGGACAAGAAGTGGGTTGACAAAAGTTGGGTTGAACCTCGGAAAAGTCAGCCAAGCCCAAGGAAGGTGTCGATGAACCACGATCCGCGGGAGGAGGTCATGGAGGAACCCTTCGTACGAGAGCTGAAGGAGTGTGTTGATTTACCGGGGCCAAACCATTCCTCAGAGTGGTCAGGAATGCACTGCCCGCAGGTTCTGGTTTTGGCGAGACCTCATGATGCCGCGTTGCTTTTTCAACAGCGAACAAATCCTACAGAGTTGACTCCTGCGCACTTTGACGAACTCGTTGCATTGGCCCGACACCACAAAAGCCAGGTGATGTTGGATGGCCCGCGTGAGATCTCAGAAGTCCATATCATTTGTCCTCACAAAAGCTGAATGTGTTTCAATGGTGGGAGGCTGTCCAGATGGGCTGGTTCGTCACATACAGACCAAGATGGTAGGTGATGAGTGCGACGTGAAAATCAGACCAGGTAACTCAATGATGTTTTTGGTTACACGTTCCCTCGGCAACCTGCTGAGTGTGGGATGGAACTATGTCACATCCACCCCTGCGGCCACGATTCAGAAGATCAAGATCTAAGGGATCATTGACGATGTCAAAGGTGACAAGTCAACTCAGGTTTGCAACTGGGGGGACCCCCATGCGTTGCAGCAGTATGAGCAACCAAAGATGTGCGTGGAAAAACTCGAAAACACAATTCCACAGGTGAGGCGGCAGCGGAGAGGAACTTGAAATACAGGATGCAAGATCCACTTTAGCGAGGGGTGCCCGCATTTTGCACTGGCATCGCGCTTTGAATTGTGCTGTGTGTACATGAGCAAGGCGGGCGTGTCAGGTTGTCATGAGATGCACATGGAGTCAAACACTCATGCATGACACAGCGCAAATCGAGACATGTGCCGCAAACAGGACGGCCGGAGTTTGGTCATACTAGGCCCTAGGCTGGTATGCTGCCATTGGTCATGACGGCAGGTTGCTGTTGTCAGGCTGTCATGTTGACATGTTGTTGCTTCACTGGCATGGGGCACACTAACATGCTGACACGTTGTCAACCGGGTCATGTTGTGACGCTACCTTGCTTGCGGGTTTCCAAGGCCGGTTCTGGAAGAGGTTCCTTAATTCGTGTTGGTTTGCCGCAAGCTGCTCAAGCAGCTGCTCCCAAACAATTCAGGGGCGTGTTCTGGATCTTGCTCTCAAACCTGCCCCTGACCCTGCTGTAGGACCTGCTCCGTATTCCTGTCACGAACCTTGTTCCCTCCCGCGCTGGCGCGCGAGGCCAGGTTGATCATCAACACACAAGGAGTTCTTAATTATTTAATTGCATGTGCCACGGAACCAGCTTTGGCTCTGAAAATGTGCGTTGCATGACAGCAACTAGGCCCTGCTCTGGGAGGGGCTTTGGTGGAAAGCCGGGTGTGCACCCACCGTCCTTGCACGACCCTTCGATCGATGCAACTTCGCATGAAACCCGCAGCATGTTCTGGACGAATTCCTATATATTCCTATGCCTCAATGCTGCTTTGTCAGCCCCCATGACAATGAAAAGATTGCTTGCCCGACACCGATATCAACATTTTTAATGGAAGTTGGGGCACTTGTGAAGGTGCTGGCACATGTATGTGGAATAGTGCCTGGCGAACGCAAGAAGGTTATTTGTACGGCAGGAAAGGCCGGACAAAAATGGGGCCATGGTTCCACCACCACTGTCAAGCACAATGTGCGGTTTTGGATCCATTTGGTTTGGTGGTTAGCCTTTTGTCGGATGATTCCGTAGGGCTGCTTCGTGAGCTGACATTTTGGGTGGTCTATGCGGCCAATATGTACTGGAATGTGCTAATGCAGGAATGATGCCACTTCATACTTCCATTTGGGCTGCACGGCAGCCTTTTTTTCCGGGGGTGCATTAGTTTTCTGAAGACGTGGTGCGAGCCAGTGCGCGGTGCGCAATTCATTGAAGCCGTCTATTGAAGCTTGGCTACGCGCCATTCACGGATGCAGTCGCTATCATGGCAAGGCTGGCTCATGTTGCGCAGCTGTGGGGGACTGTTTTTGTTTGCGTTTCAACCGAGGCCCTGGCGAGTACGAAACTCAATTTTTGGCAGATTTGATTAGTGATTTGATGCAGCATTGCAAGTGCTCATGGATGTCAGGTCACTGTTGCTTTTGTGGCGACCGTGCTCGCAGTAGGCCAACCCTGATTTTGATGCAGTTTCTGTGCTGAGCCTTTTTTCCCCAAAAAGGTCAAATCCATGATGCACATGCAGTAGTCCTCCAAGAGGCTCGGACAAATATTGTTAGCTCGGCCCGCTCGGCAAGATTCGATGCCAGCATTTTACCAATCATCCGACATGCGGCGCAATCACTAGTTGTTCCGCTCTAGGCGACCCTGCGGCGGAACCCCATCTCCAAAGTTATTGGCATGTTGGAATCGATGGAAAAGAAGGTGAGTGAGCTAGTGAGATGGGAGACTCTGTGCAGCTGGTGAAACAGCAGGTCAAGCAGGAAGCTGACGAGAAACACAGAGTTTATGACAAGTGCGACCGGCTCTGAATGTTTTTTTGAAAGCAATATGTTTTGTGATGAGAGTCTTTGGTTTCAGGTACATGTGCTATTGCAAGCAGACAGGTGAATCGCTGATCTCCCAACTGGCCGAGGTAGGTGAAGTTTGTTCGTGTCATTCTTCCTCTCGGTTCATGCAATGTTTTTGGAACACACCTGTCCAGTTGCTCGAGTGTGTCAGTGAGCGCCTGCAGTGAATTCACTGCATGACTGCATTGTATTGCAGGCAGCGAAATCCCTTCCACAATTGCGGTCTCGAAAGCAGGAGGTTCCTTACTCTTACTGAATTCAGGTCAAGTTCAAGTTGTAGCCCTTTGCAGAGAACGCTGTGAGAGGTATCTGCTCTACAAGCCTCACTGGAGGTTGAAATTGAACAGCACAAGAAGGAGTTGGCAGACAACGTGACAACCATTCACATCAGTTTGGAAAATCCTTTGGGATGCATGCAGTTGCATGGCAGGTCAGCTAGAGGTTTGCGTTGGATTCCGTGCACCTTTTGATTCTAGAACTTGCCGACACATGTTGGCAGATAAGGGGACCTGGCGCGCGTCACGAGAGGATAGAGAAGATGCTCAAAGTGCACTGTCAAGTGCTGCTGAAATACGCAAGAAGGACTTCGTGTTGTGTGCCGGATTGTTTTCGAGTGGGTATGCCAGCAGTTCTTGAGCATGGGCTTGGGGTTTCGGGTTGTCCCCTGTCAAGGAGGCAGACACATTCCTGAAGGCAGGTTTGTGATGCCGGTGAATGGAATTCAAGCGACAGATGCGTTTGCTGGCCGCCCCACGAGGACTCTCAGAATCAACAGGAGTCCCTTAATTCACTCACTGAAGTAGTGTGCTCGGCCTTGAACGCATTTTTGGAAGGCGTGGTTTTGCCAAAGTGGTCATGTGATTCAGCCCAGGCCATCAGGGCGTTGCAGAAGAATCAAGAAGTCGCATTCCTTCAATCGAGCAGCGCATCCATCCTTAGGAGGTGCCCTTTGAGGAGACCGAACATGCGACTTGTGCCACTGATGTCTCACGAACTGTTGCAGGCTATCTTTGTCAGCGGACTGCAGCCAAGATTCTGACATGGTATGTAAATTATGTAACCATTGTCCGGCTTTGGCGCTATTCAAGCTTGTTTCAATCAGTTTGCTGTGGTCTGAGGACATGACAACCACGAACCGGGACTTGCTGTCATCCTTTCTCTCTGCCAGAGGCATGAGCAAGAGAGTGACTCAAAATCGTCTATTGAACATGATGATGGTGTGCGAGGTGGGCCGAGCAGTCAAATTCTAGGGATGTTGAAGCAAATGAAAGAGGACCTGCTTGGCACTGCTTGGAGCTGGAAAGCGGCTGCTCTGGCAGACTCATGCCATGCATTCGATTGTGCTGATGGGAGGACATGGGAAGTGACTTGAAAGAGATGAAGGATTCTGAGCAGCAGCGGCTTGCAGAGTCATTTGCTCGGCCTTTCATGTTGCATTCCTTTTTGGGGGGGTCTAGTCCGCCACTCCACGATATTTGAGGCGCTAGGGTGTGCAGCCCATTGATCTCATCCAAAAAGCTTGATGATCCACATTGCTGAGCGTTGCTAGCCCGTCTGAGCCTGTCCCTCCCGGACAAGGCACTTGAGCCTCATGGAAGCAAAGCGGAAGCAACAGCAGGTGGCCATGAAAGCCATGGAAGAAAAGCAGGGACCTTAGACACAGTGGGATGGCGACGCAGCCTTTGATGCTCCATGATTCTTCTTGGTTTGCGCGAAGTGCTCTGCGAAGGATGCTGCGGTTGGGGGAGTTGAAGGTGGAAATGCAAGTTCTCAAAGATGACCTCAAGGACTTTGTATGGCCGTATCAGTCTGTCTCTGTCTCCTGTCCTTGGGTGCAGCTAGTCGAAGCATGGGCTTGGTTTGGCCCTTGTGATGCTCTCTAAGTTGGGTGTGACAGGATCAAGCAGAAGCTCAGAAGGACACCCGCCAAGCGTTTCCATTGGGTTGCCACTGTTGATTGGATAGCCAAATCCTCATGGATGGAACTTCTGACCGGTACAGTATGCCCTGTAGGCTCGGTGGACTTAGTAGGGCCAACCTAAGCGCCGACCACTCAATTGCGAGGAGAATCAGCAGTTCGCCACCGACTTGAACAAGACGTGCGAAGACAAAGAGCAGGCATGCGGGAGTGCCACACGAGAAAAACCGAATGTAGATAGGACCGCTGATCCTCGGATTTTGCATGTTTGGATCGGCGCGCCGATCCACTCGGAGTCCGCGACAGGCGTGGAGCGAGTACCAGGCCTTGCAGGCTCAGGAGCTGGAGGCCTTGAGTGAGACGGTGGGGAGCCACAGCTCGCAAGTCATAGGCTGTACTGAAGAACTTCAATATTCATGAAACATGAAACGCAGCTTGTGCCTGTGAAACCTTTGGGTCATCGTCCTTACCCTTGGTGGTGCCCTCTCAATTGTTGCTCATCAAGCACCCATTGTATACTTATTAGACTAGCTCAAGGCCGTTCAATATACTGTAATTGGTAGCTTGGTCTGTGAATTGAACATGTACTTGCTTGGTTCACTGGCATGCATGCCAGCTCATTAACAATTGACTCCAGAACATTTGCATGCTTTGGCCTTTGGGCACGCTAGGGCCATTTCTTGAGATTCTCACGTCTCACATATGCCGAGCCCGGAAGTACTTTGGCCCACAGGCACAGAACTCATGCCAAGGTTGAGTTCCTGAGCAAAGACCAGGTTCGGGACGCCGTCGGAGATGCTACGAAGGGAGCAGAGACGGCCAGGACCCCCTTCGTTCGCCCCACCGGTGGCGAACCCAAATCGCCTCGGCTCGGTCCAGGACTCCCAGCTTCGGAAACCTCCGCGCGATCGCCTCAGAGTGGAAGGTCGGGGAATCCGTCGGGGAAGCTCCACGATTCGTGCCACTTGTTGGTGAGCCGGCTGAGCGGCACACAAGCTCTGATGCCGACGTGACATATCACCAAGCCAACCAGTGCCACTATCTGGGATGCCTCCTGTTCTTGGATCGAGTCATTCCTGACCCCTTTTTGGCGCTGTTGCACTGCCATGGTTCGGGAAATCTGTCTCACGACGTTCATGGACCGGAGCCAACAAACTGGTGACATAGAATTCCTGATCAAGCCGTCAAAACAAGACAGCACCACTTTCTTTCGCGTTGTGGTGAAGTAGCTCGGTTCCAGCTCTTGTCAAATAGCAAGCAGTTGGGGTGAAGACCACTGGCAGCTGGCTGCTTTGTAAGGCTTGGAGCTTCTTGCAGACGGAGGCTGATGAGGCTGAGGCCAACATCTAGCCACTAAATGGCTTAAGTAGCTTCTTAGGCTTGGACACGGGAAAGCCCTTGCACTTTCATTCATTTGGTTCCTGGATTTTTGGAAAGTTTGATTTTGTGGCTTTGCCATTCTCCTTGGATTTGTTTGTTGCGGGTGCGAGGCCACAGGCGACGTGGTCGAGCTGGCTCTTCGTCACTTGGCTGCAGCTGTATGCCAATCACCTGACAGTATCAAGGGCTTGGGCTGTCATAGAGAGGTTGCTGCAGGACAGCAACAAGTTTGAACAGCAGGTGATCACAATATTCCCCGTCCCGCAGCTATTTGACAGTAAGCAGGCGTAGGCTTGTCAACCGTGGTGGCAGGATGCCGAGTGACGGCACGTTTGCACCGCATGTGCGGCGGGTGAGGGGAAGCATCCATGGCTTGACACCGGATGAGCATCAATCCCGGAGGCTCAATGATGAGCTTGCTGCCAAGGACAGCGCAGAGGAGAAGGGTTCCTGTATGATCTTGAGTAGAGGTGAACCTTTTACTGGCATTGACTGCTGAGTCCTTGTGCTGGTTGTTGGTGACTGCTTGAACGTTACAGCATTGTCTCAGGAGCTACTACCATGGTGCCAAAGACGACGGGCACAGTTCAATACTGTGCACCTCGTGACAGCGCTGCACCGTATCGCCAAAGCATCCGATGGTGCCAGGGTTGTAAACTCCCAGCAGTTTTAATCATTGCTAGCTGATGTGCATGATGCGATCAGTGATGTCAGCACGGCTATGCCATCAGCTTCTCCTCAGCACCTATCCAACACTGCTTGGGCTTTGGCTGTCCTGGTGGCACAGCACAGACCACTTTGGGTTGCCATCTCCACTGGATCGATTCAGCGTGGGGACCAGCTGGATCCACAAAACATGTCCAACACGGCATGGGCAATGGCCACCTGTGAGCTATCATACTTCCCGCTGCTGACCACGATCTCAGGGAAGGCGATCCAAAAGATAGATCGCTTCGGAGCACAATCGTTGTCGAACACGGCTTGGGCCTTTGCTGTTCTCAATGTCCGCGATATACCTCTCATGCAGGCCATTAGCACCCAGGTTTAGCAGAAGGCCATGCAATGGGAGGTGCAGGAACTGGTAAACTCTGTTTGGGCCTTCGCCAAGTTGGCATTTTGCGATCGGCCGCTCATGCGCGTCATAGCCACAGCAGCAACATCCAAGGCAAGCAGATATGCGGCACGAGATTTGGCAAACAGCGCATGGGGATTTGCAACTTTGGTACTGGTAAGCTTACCTTTGCTCAGAACGTTTGCGCAAGAAGCGAGGAGCAAGATACATGAAGGTGACACACAAGCGATTTCGAACTTGGCTTGGGCATTTGCCACTCTTTTGCACAATGATGAGCCCGCAATGTCTGCCATCTGCACAGCTGCAGTGAGGCAGCTCTCTGAGTTTGATGAGCAAGGCTGTTCGACCATGGCCTTTGCAATCGCTTCGTTTGAACTCGGCCATGAGCCCCTGCTGAATGCAATTGCTTCCCAGTCGCTTGCCCTATGGAGCAGGTCCGACACCGATGTGCCACAGTGCAGGCATGTGCTTGACATGCTGGCTGGTTTGGTGTCCTACCACTCCAGAACCCAAAATTTGTGACATGTGTAAAATGAGATCATTGATCTTGTGGTTCAACTGTTCTACTAATGCCCGATCTTTTGTCTGCAGAGGATTGTGGGGGGCAATGCCTGGATCGTTTCACTCTCCAGGCTCTGAGACCTTCTTGTCTCTGAGTCTCTGAGTGCCAGAAAGAAGTGCATGGTCAAAGTCATGTGAGCCAGAACAGATCGGTAGTGCCGCTACTTAATATTCCGAATGGCGGGACTCCATCCAAACCAGGTGGGCAAAAACGTGGCATGGACGATGTGGTCAGCCGAATCGATGTGCCTTGGGCGATCATACCGATCCTGTGACTTTGGTCGTGTTCTGGTCGGGAGTGAAAGCCCTTTTTCAAAAGGATGGACTCTAGAATCTTTTGCATTTGTTTGCGTTTGTGGTATTGTGGTTGGGTCTCTCATGCAGACTTCAGTCTTGGTTTATTTCTTGCCAATTTCTTGAGAACCGGATGTTTTCTATCCTGCCCCATCGAGAACAATTAAAGCCAATTTTCTTGAAGCACAAGGTCCCACACAACTTTACTCGCTTTTCTATCCATAGTGGAACGAATCACATATGTAATATGTGTATGTGGTAAGTCTTGATTCTTTTTGCAACAGCATCCTTCCACCTTGAAGAATTGACATGTGATTCAGCTCTTTTCAATAAGAAGTCCAACGGAATTAAAGCACCCGTAGATTCTTCCAATCTGACGATTGCATACACCAAGAATTAAGGCCTGAGTTAGTTCAAAAGGTTGGTTGTCAAACCATAGAGAAGAGAAGACACATTCCATGCTTGCTTCAGTCTTGTTTATCACCTTGTTTTACTGCACATCCTCATGGTTTGCTACCTCTTTTTCTTGTAGCCAAGAGCCAAGGACCTGCATGAAGTTCTTGACAAGGAGCAAGAGTCCGATGAGGACCCAATTCGGTTCTGAACTGAAACACAATGTAGGTGTTTGTGACTCCTTCCCATGCAAACTTTGTCCCCAAAGAGTCCTCAAACTTTGAGCAGATGAACTCACAAACTGCAGGAGCGCCATAGATATTGTGAAACCAAGCTACGGGAGGCGCCTGCCTGGATGATTAGTCTTGAGATGGGATGCTACGCTGAGTCCTAGATGTGACTATGACAGGCCAATGCAGCCAAGTCGAACAAGGAGCGAGAATTTGAGGCCTGGATGAGGGCAAGGCCCTTTTGTTCAAATGAGGTGTTGTGCAATACTTGTGTAAGCCAAGCGCTCACATAGAGTTGGCAGTTCTGTGATGTGAGCAGACTGTCCACCAGCCCATGTCGAGTTAGTTGTGCCGTCGGCACCATATAGCCGAAATCTCTTTGCCTGAGTACCTTCAACCAGCTTCAACCAGCTCCCAGCTTTTGACACTTCACATTGACATTACCATCGTCGTGAGGATGCTACCAGCATCCTGGCCACGTTTCAGGACCTTGGAGAGCATTCCGTATCACGTTTCTAAGCCTTGGTTTAGCCTTTTGAAGTCCAAGGAAGAAGGTAAATGTCTGAAGGCCTAGAGAACAAAAGAACGGGAAAGATAAGAAGCAAGAACATGAGAATACATTCCAAGACTTATGCATGCTCGTTTTGTACAGACCCAAGGGCTACTGTGGTGCTACTGTAGTGCTGAGTGCTACCATGTGCTACCTGCCAGAGCTGAAGTTGGATGTTTCCCATGTCGCTTCAGAACGAGCACGACACCGTACTTGGGGAGATCAAGACTCTGGAGGAGCACATGAAGGACGGTCTGGTCACCTCAATGTGAAGATTATTTGAAGGAGTGTTGAGGGCTTTTGCTGGCTTTGCCAAGTGTTCGTTCTATCTCCGATAGAATGGCACTGCAACATCAAGCTTCTCAAAAATGACCCTAGGCCCTAGGCTGCCAATAGGTCGTGCAAAGATACCCACTAACAGAGTGCATAATACGAATGTCATCGTGAAAGATCATGGTGGCAGAATCAGCAGAGCTGTTGAACTGTTTCCCGAATGAAGCATTGCTCCACGAGGAACTGGATGCTCAGGTGGCCAAGACCACTGCAGCGCGGCAAGCTGAACGGGCGGCCTTCGTTGCTTGACTGCCGTGAAAGACAGCGCAGCGCGCTGCATAGCAAGGCCTTGTCTGGCAGCTTGTCTCTGAGGAAAAGTCGCGGGACACCAACAATGCAGTGTGGTCCTAAGCCTCTGCAGGAAAAGAAACTGAACCAGCTTGGGAGAAGTACCAACCACGGTGTTGTTGCAGGATTCTGGACTGACATGCTACAGTCTTGAGTGATTTTTACAGTTGCCTCACGCCTCACGCCCAAAACAGATCCCAGAGAGACTCCCCAAGGCCTTGGAGCTTCTTGAAGTGGCTGAGAAGCGCCTCCAGCGGCTACTCGGCCCAGAGATGCCACAATGTAAGAGCTCGAGGTCTTGCTCAAGTTCATTTACTGTATATATATATATATATCCCGCACTTACAGTCAGTGCTTGATTCCTGACTTTCATTTTGGTGTGATCATTGTGACGTATGAGGTTTTATGCCACCTCGAGCAGCCTCGCGGAAACGGGTGCAACCCAGGCCACAGAAGCAGTGACTTGTGATTCTCTTGATCGCATGGTTGGATGCTATGCCTTTGTGTGAGGCGAGGATTCGGAGAGACCCTCAGGCCCCAAAAGCAGATCTCTCATACCAGAAGCAGGGCTATGGGCTTAGATTCTGGTTGTCCCTGGCCTTTGAGTCTTCATTCTTTTCTATTTCTGTTTGCCGGCTGATTCATGCCACTCCGAGCACGCTCCATGGCGTGTAGAGCGAACTGAAGTTTGGTTCGTATCCCTGACAAGTTCTCGGGGGTGCTGAGTTCCCAACATGGGAAGGTCTCCGTGTACAAGCTTGCCAGTCGGCTTGGTTCCGAGGCCAAGGCTTCAAGGTCCTGCAGCTCTTCACAACCATCAAGGCAGGACACCAGCACCAGATGTGCTACACCACGTTTCGATGTGCGCAACCCCTCGCGAGCCAGTTGGGGAATACGCTCCCAGAACAAAGACGTGCCCCTGTACATATAGTGTTGCTTTATTCTACACTGAGCCGCAAGTCAGGAAGGCCAATATGGTTCAGCTTCAAGATTTCATGCACCTAGCAGCTAAGTCCATCACAACACTCTGCACGCAGGCAGAGCCCTATAATACGACGTTTGTGCTGGGCAGAAGTGTCAACGAACAAAGATCGTGCTGTTCTCAAAATGCCGCACGGAAGGTGTGCCAGCAATGGCCGTCGACTGATCCTGCAATGTCCGGTGCTGTTGAAATGGTTCATTCGCCATCATGTCGCGGCATACAGTCGCAAGAATCCGCAAGCATGACATGTGCTCCGAGTACAGCTCAACAGTTTACACGCGTTTTCACATCAGCCAAGACGCCAGAAGCGATGGGCCCTCCATCCTTCTTCACAGCAACGGCATTCTAACTGTGCCGGCAAACCTTGAAGAAGGATAAGAACAAGAAAATAGAACTATATAGAATTCGGTGAGGTAAAGGAAGCGGAGAGGGAAAGCTTAATTTTCCCCAGAGAGCGTGAGCTATTGGGGTTCTTACTTCAAGTATAGGAAGAGCTGGGTGTGTGCGCTTTCGAGCCCGGGTGCTCGTGCCGCTGCAGGGTGCCATTGCTGTGTGCGCTTGGGAGCTTGGCTGCAGGGTGCCGCTGCAGTGTGCCTCTGCAGTGTGCTGCTGTGCTGTCGCAAAAGTCCTTTTGCTATCTGGGGCCTCTGCTGGCGTAATTTTTTGGATGTCGTCCATGTACAGTACACCAAGCCTGACGAACCAGAGGTTGACGGGCTTGTGAAGTCGGATCGAAATTCGTCGCACAAGCGCAATCTCATTGCGTCAGCTTTAAGCATCCTTGCACGGCTTCAAGTGCTTTCAATTTCAATCGTTTGCTTCTGTGCAGCGACAGCTCACAGTAAAATGAGTGTTTGGTAAGACGTACCTTTGGCATGTCACTTTAATTGAAGGCCCTTGGCAAGACCATTGGGCCTATTTGGCCACAAAAACGAATGTGACCACATGTATCTTTCACAAGACTGTCCTGCAAATAAGGTTAGTGGACTCGACCACCCCAAACATTTGCTCAAGAGAATCTTCAACACATTGGTCAAGACCAATCCCCAGCAATTGCTGTTCACGACAGAACTTTGTGCCATAATGTGCCATGTAACCACGACACAAGGACTCAAGGACACATGTTCCTTAAAATGACCAAGATATTGCTCGCAGCTTACGCACCATCCATTTTTCGCCAGATAGCGGGATCTATTGGGGTTCTTCCATCAAGTATGGGAAGAGGTGCCTGTGTGGTGCTTGTGCTGCTGTCCATGCCGGTGTGCACATTTGAAAAGAGGTGTGTGTGGCCATGTGCGCTTTGGAGCCTTAGTGCTGGTGCTGCTGCAGGGAGCCGCTGGCAGAT